CCATGCACAAAAATGACCTAGATATACATGCTTTTTTCCAAGACTGGGGAAGTTAGCTTGATGGCATTCTCTCCCAAAACTGTATTCAAAAGCGCCTGCAGATAAATCTGATGGTACTTAAATGACTCCAAGACAGGCTTTGCAGAAAGGAAATGCACACAATGCAGCCAAGAAGTAGCCTGTGTAAATTATCTGCCAATATATCATGTAGGATACATTCCCACATTCTCTGCACACCCAAAACTCCCAGTGAAATCAAAGAAAAACTTGGGTGGATATATAACTACTGGCCATTCCCTACAACAGGATGACATGTAGAAATGGTACCTAATGAACAGATCTAGCAGTGGGGTTCAAGCAGGGCTAGACCTGCATCCTTCAACATTCAAAATAGGTTTTAAATACCTCGCAGTGCCCTGCAGTGAACAAAGCTCAGGCCTTGGACTTGCTTCTGTCTCATGCGTCAACTATTAGCTATTAACTAAATTCCATGCACTGATTCTTGAGTCCTGATGATGCGTGAGGCTGATGGAGCCCAGCGTGGTGGGGAGCCCCAGCTAAACTTGTAGAGCTGGCAAGTTGAAAAAAAAAGCCCTTTAATTTTGCAGCTGAGGAGACGTCAATCGGCGTTGCTGAGAAACCATAAACATGGACCCCACAATGCCATTTCTGCTGTCGTTTCTCTGAATAGATGCCCACTTTAACAGCAAGTTACTTTCCTACGGACATTCCTACTGGATTATGAAAGAGCTCTCCATAGCTTGGAAAACCTCATGTTCACATATGTAAAAGGCCCCTAAAGATGGACTTAGGAAGCAAAAAAACCCATAAAATGTTTGCACATAATGGCAACTACGTTAACTAAGGCCTGATCTTCCCAACATCGCTAATGCCATAGGTTTTGATACAGAAGAGCACTTAACCGAGGTGATAATACAGGGAAGGACTTAAAACACATGCTTAAACTCATGTGGCCCAAAAAGGCAGGCACATCCTTCCATGGTTTCTCACATGGGGGCTGCAGCACTTCCCATGGCAGCGTGTACCACTGACAGTGTGCATCACTGACAGGCCTCCTCATGCCTGCTACAGCCATGTCAGGGTTTGCAGCACACAACTCTTCACTCTGCAGAAGCATGAGCTCCCAACCCCTCCCTGGGGGAATTCCCACCACCTTCGCCCAGTGATTCACAGGAGAAATTCTCCTGGGATCCAGCTGGGCAATGTGCACTGACCAGGATCCGTGAGCACACAGCCAGCTGACTGAGAACACATCTCACCCAGAGCCGTAAATACCTGCCTGCCGCTCTGCACCACAAAGCGCTCTTCCCTTAAATAATTCTTTTTTTCTGCCTTCACCGTGCCCGAATTGATCCCGAACTACCAGATGTGGCCTTTTACACCGCGGGTTGCTTAACCGAGATGCTTTTTTTACCTCACCACCTGCACCACTGATAACCTACATGGTAGCAGTGCGGAGACACAGGGCCGTGGCTTCCCACCTCACCGGCGGGCACCGCGGCCTCCCCCGGACACCACCCCACTGCCACACCCTCCCCATTCCCTTGTGCTCCATCACCCCCGTTGCCCGGGCCCATGGCCGGGAGCCCCGCACCTCTCCCCGCCTCACGCCCGCCCCGCCCGCCGGGGGCGCGGGGCCGCCTGGCAGCCGCTCAAGGGGTGAAGTCACGCCCGGAGCCGCGTGTCTGCCGCCAGGTGGCGCCGCTGCGCCGCGCCGCCCGCCCCCCGCGCACGTGCGCCCAGGCGCCCTCCCTGCCCGGCGAGGTCCCCGGTACGGGAACACCCGCACCCACCGGGGTCTATGGGACACACGCGCACACACACACACACATATGGGGGACACGACGCGGACATGGCAAAACCCTGCACCAATGGGGCAGGAAGCGCCGCTGGGGTGGCTGCGGAGGAGGCTGAGCCCACCGGGAAGTCCCGCGTGTGTGTGTGTGTGTGCGTGCGGGTGGCCCCCAAACCAGTCTCCTGCAGCTTCGGGTCACCCCTCTCCGAGTGTTTAGCTCTTTTTGACGTGGAAGGCGTGATTTTGTAGAAGGTGGGTGGGGGGTGACACAAGTGATGGCTTTGCCGTGTGAGAAAAAGAGAAGGAAGAAGGCGGCCAGCGCAAGCTGCCGGGAAGGTGGTGAAGAGGGAATGGGTAGGGGGGGCTGCTTACCAGCAGCTCTTGGGGTTTGATGGAATTGTCCGTATATATGCACAGCTTCTCGGCTGTGAGGGGGATTGTCTCTTTCAGCTTGGAGGCCAGGAACATGCACACTGCCCCCAGCAGTTGCAGATGGCACTTTCGAGTGGGCACCACAGCTAAGAATCTGTCCAAGTAATTCATGGCCAAAGGGAAAACTTCTTCTTCGCACTTCTGCTCTTCACAGACCTGCAAGCGAGGGGAGCGTGGGGAGGACGGGGCAGCGGGATGGGGGTGGAGAGAGGAGAGAAAAGACACAAGAAGGAAAAAATATTTATAAATGAGTGATCCCACGAAACAGACCACTGCCTCCCCGCTATGCCTCCTGCTATTTTTGTTTCCCGGGGAGCTAAATTTTGGGGGAGGGGGAGATCTCTGGAGAGGCTGGGAAGGCTGTCAATCGGCTTTCACATTCCTTTAGTTCATTCAGTAAGAAATGAATTCAAGACACTGTGTGGGAGAGCCGAAGAGCCCCATCCAGCAGCAAGCGAGCAGTCTCCGACTTTTTTTTTTTTTTTTTTGCGACCCAATTTTTTACTTTTTTTTTTTTTTTGATTTCGTCATATTTTCAAAAAATCGATAAAAATATTACAACTTCCCCGGGGGTCCCGGTTTTGGTGCTGGTAGCACCCCGGGACGGTCCCCTATCGTTTCCGACAATTGCAAAAATTCCCTCGGGGGGTGTCCCCCAGCCCTGTGCCCCTGATCCAGCATGGGGGGGGGGAAAGGACGGGAGACACAGCGAGGGCGAGGTGGGGTGGGGAGAGCCTGAGCAGCCTGGATCCTTTTAGCAGGAGCGAGCGAAAAATGACTTCAAAAATTTACCAAAAATCGGAGCAAGGGAGAAAAAAAACAATTCGCACATGAAAACCAAGCGGGGGCTTTGGGCTTTCCAACGCAGGGGGTTTGGTCAGGGAAAGGTCCCCCCCAAAGGAGATCCGAAGGGGCAAATGATGGGCGGTGGGGCCAGGGCAAGGCAAGAGAGACTGCGGGGATCTGGGCCCGCTGCCGCCCCGCCTGAAGTATAGGGGCGAACGGGGGGTTCGCCGCCAGCTCGGGCTTACCGACAGACCCCCGCCAGGCCGAGAAGGAAAGGGGGCGCGGCGGCGGGATGCATTTCCGAACCCCTTCTGGAAAGGGGGGGCAGACGGGCTCGGCGCCTCCGAGCACAGTTGCATGCAACGCAACATGGCGAGAAAAAGGCACGTCCTCACCACTGCATACGTGGGCATGAAACCCTCTCTGGGCAAAACGCGGGGGGCACCGAGCAGCCCCCGTCCCTCGCCCTGCCCGGGCGCAGCTCCCTTTTCCCAGAAAAGCCTCATTCCCAAGCGCTCCCGGCAGCCCGCCGCCGGAGGCGGCTTTTCTTTTGCTTTTTAATTGCAAATGACTTTTTCAACCCCCCACCCCCTGCTTCCTCCCCTCCTGCACCCCGCTTTGCAGCAGCCCCCCGGAAGGGGCGATTTCCCCCGTGGGCTGTCGATGCTCCCCGCGCCCCTTCCCCCACCGCACCGCTCGGCACGGCACCGGGTGAGCGCAGGAGGGGGAGGAGAAGGGGCACACACAGAGGAGAAGAAACCCCACCACGACCGGAGGGGCGAGAGGCTGCAGGGGGAGAGGGGCCGAGGCGAGGCGGAGGTGCTGCCGCCCGCGCCCCGCCGCACCGAGGGGCCGGGGGAAGGCGCCGGGATACAAACCTCCAGCATCCAAGTGGCTACCATCCTCCTCATGAAGGGCTGGATGTCCTTCTGGACGCACTTGAAGTAGGAGCACTGAGGCAGATACCTCTCCTCTATGGTTAGTAAGTTGTGCAAAACGCGGTCATCGTAGAGCAAGTTTGGGTCAGGGAGAGCTCTCCTCATGGGATCCACCTCGCAGCACAGCAGCTCCATGTTTCCAAAGAGATCTCCCTCTTTCTCTGATGGGAAAGGTTTCCTTTTTTTTTTTTTTTCCTTTTCCTTTTTTTTTTTTTTTGGGGGGAAGGGGGTGGAGAAAGGAGAGGGGTAAAGGAGGAGGGGTAGGTGGGTGGGAGGAAGGCGGCAGCCGGGCTTTCCAGCTCGCTCCTGCCTCCCTTGAAACTCGTCTCTCCCTCTCTTGATTTCTAGCCTAAAGTTGAAGCAAAGTGACGCAACTCGCCGGGGCAGGCAGTTCTCTCTCTTGTTATTATGGAGAACAGCAGCTGGTCAGACGTAACATCAAACGCTCTTTTTTTTTTTTCTTTTTTTTTTTTTTTTTCCCCTCTATAAGCTAACAAGGAACCAGGAGGCCCTCGTATAGGGACACACACATACAAATGACAGCTTCTCTTTTGCTTGCTTCCAGCGACTAAATGAAATCCGCTCCGCACTTTCCTTCTGCGGGAGCTCGTCTGAATCTATTTCCCCCTCCTTTTCTTGTAGCAAGAAACTGAGGGCTCCCTCTCAGTACCCACCGCGACGATGGGGGCGATGGATGCGGGGTCCCGTCCCACCACCCCCCCCCCCCCAAGCCGTTGACCCACTCTTCCCTCACGCACCCCCTTGATCTGCAACCGGAGGGTGACAGGGCTCCGTGCTAACTGCAGCCTGCTGCAAACCCGAAAAAGACCCCACTGATCCTTGAGCGGTGAGGGTTCCCCGGCGCTTTCGGGGTGCAATCTAACAATAATCACCGCTGCTTCCTCCGGCACATGTAGGCGTTTCTAGCGGGCGAACCGTTTTAGCTCTGCACGACCACACTGATACAACTTTCTAGGAAACGGAGCGGAGGAGGGAGAGAGGTTGTCGGGGGGATGGGGGGGGGGGGGTGTTAGGGGAGTTATGTCCCACACCGGGTGACTTCCACCCTCCTCGCACTTCGCCGGCGTCGCAGTCGCTCCCCGCCTGCAAAATGTGTCAAATTTGCTAAGTCTCTACCGCTGCCTGCTACGGTCGAGCGGAGGCTCCCGAAGGGGAAGGAGCTGACCGAAGCCGGCCGGGGACGAGCTGCCCGGGCGGGCGCTCATCGGAGCGGCCCCGCGGGGCATAAAAGGATCTCGCTTCCCGGAACCGCCGTCTTGCCCCACAGCCCCCCCCTCCCAGCCCCCCCCCTCCCGGGACTCCGCGGAGGTGGGCTTGGCGGCGGGGGAAGAAATACCGCCTTAAAAGAGTGAGTGGGGAGTTTGGGGCGCCGCTTCCCCTCCCTCCATTTGCATAGCCAATAGCTCTGGGGCTCTCGCCGCTGCGCGCTGATTGTTACCGGGCAGATTATATTTTAAGGACGCATGCTGCCCGGCATCGAAAGCAGCCCCGGAGGGCAGGGGGCGAAGTGGAGGCCCCTCACCTGGCCGCGCTGCCGGTCTTGGGAGCCGCAAGGTCCTTGCCGGTATCGGGAAAGGCGGGCTACCGGCCGTCGCTGCCCGCGAGTGGGCAAACGCGTCCCGTCGCACACCAGCTCTCTCCCCTCTGCATCAAAACGGATGGGAGGGACGGGGCCGGCTGTGCCGTGGGGTGCATCTCTTCGGACTCCAGCCCTTGCAAAAGCCGGCTGGGACGGCTCGGCACCTAAGCCGCCTGTCGGAGCACTGCTACTTCGCCGACAGAAAGCGAGCAGGACTCCCTCTTCCCTTTCCCCCTCGTGCCCCGGTGACGCGGAGTCGGCCCGGGACAGCCGACCTCTGCACGCGTTGCTAGCCGCATTTCCCCGCAGAATCAGCTCCGTGCGCCCACCTCCCGTCCCGTCACCGAATCGGGCAGCTCCCGGCCACCGCCGAATCGCGGCGGCAGCAGCGGCGTCCGGGAGCTGCCGGGCACTGTGTGTGGCCCTTGTACCCGCACCCCCCGAGGCGGGAGCTTACCGGGGACGAGCCCGCCGTAGGCGGAATTGGGCAGACTTTGACCGGCAAGGCTCGCGTTTTGCGAGGGCGAAGGAAAGGATCTGGGAGGGGGCACCCCCCGGCGTACGTCGAGGGCGGCGAGCGGGGACCCGCTGCGTCGCGGCGTGCTCCGCAATGAAAGGCTCTTTAACTTCCACCATTCATTTCCCCTTCCTGGCTACTCCTGTGAACAGGGAGCGTGTTGTGTCAGCGCACGTTTTCCTTCTCCAAACTTAAATTCATAAGCGCTCCCGTCTGGCTTTGTAGCCCGACAATGCAGCGATTGTGATTTATGTGGGTTTCGGGCGGGAGGACAACGGGTGTCCTAATTGTCCGGCACCAACTTTCCGAAGTGGGGTGATGTCTGGGGCACAACACGGCTGCCGGCGGAAGGACCGGGGGAGGGATGTGAGGGGCTCCCCGCACCCCGCGACGGGGCGGCTGCCGGGGTGGCAGCCACGGGTCCCACGGGCGGGCAGAGGCCACCCTGCCACCTTCCTGGGAGGGATTGGAGGCTCCCGTTAGAAAAAAAACAACCCAACCTAAATCAATACATGGAAACATGCCAGCTTTGCACGTGGAGGTGCAGCAAAAAACCACCACCAAACACCGCTTTTCCTCGATGCGACGGCTTCTGTATACGCGGTACGCTTTTCCAATGGGGAAACACTGGCCTTCCGAAACGCGGCTGCGGAAGCCAAGGTTCCCGATGTGCCCCTTTGCCTTGTCCCCGTGCCCACGGGCGCTGCCGCATGCGTTTGGAGGCAGCAGATGTTTTAACAGCCTCCGTGTAGAGATTACCGAGTGCCATATGTTAAATGCCACCCCCCTCCGGAAAAAAAAAAAAAAAAAAAAGAAGAAAGGAAAAAAGGAAGAAAAAACTACTTTTCGCACTCGCTCCCAATCTTTTGGTGAGCTGCCTCGCCCGTTCAAAAGCACAAATGATTCAATCAAATACCGCCGGTAGATGGGTTTTTCCCCGGCGGCCCCGGGACCGCCGTGCGCTCAGCCCTAGGCGGGCGCTCCCGCGGAGCAGCGCTGCGCCTTGCGAGGAGAAGCGGCCACGGTGGGATCAGCGCTCCCGAGGTCGGACAGCCCCCCCCTTTCCTCCCCTTCCCCGTCCGCAGCCCGGCGGGAAGGGGCTGTCCCGCTCCCAGCCTCACCGCAGCCGCCGGGGGGCAATGCCGCAGTCCCTGCTGCTGCCCTGGGGAACCCCTCTTCTGCGGGTCGTCAAGTCTGGAGTCACGGAGCCTCATCATCAGCGTGACACATAGTTACCATCAAATCTGTTCTGTGTAATGGCATTTTGTTGGTGTTAGTCGGAGAGCGCTGCAAAACGCGGCGTCTCTTGGCTTTTTTAAAAATAGATCCTTAATTCGTCATCATTTCTATTTATTTAATTTCTTTTCTCTGCACATCCCGGAGAGCAATCTTGGAAGATGCTTCAGGGGACAGTATGAGATCAAGCTTTGCATTCGAACCGCAGACCAATAGACACATGTGTGTGCGCCCCGGCAGCCGCAGGTTTTTTATTTGTTTAAATGAAATAAGTATTCCCTTGCAGCGCTTGAAACCTGAAGGCTGGAGTGTGAAACATGAGAATCTGAAAGTGAAACCGACTGGAAGCCAAAAAAGAAACAGATGAATGTGTTTCCACTGTCCAAGCTGAGGAAAGCCCCGAAAGCAAACAAACACGTGAATAATAAAATGTGCAATAGATTTGGAATAAACCATTCCAGCTTCAGTCAGTGGAAGCAGTCTATCCTGGTGGTTTCTTTTTATTTTTTTAAATTCTTTTTTTTTTTTAATTTTCTTTCTTTTTTTTTTTTTTTTTTTGCTGTTCAAAGATAAATTCCTTAATTCCGTGATGTGCAGGAACAATATGATAAAAACTATCTTTTCTTTCCTTTGGTTTCTGATTAAAGACCAGAAGAGGATTTGGATGCTGCAGGAAATGCTGCACACTGCCCATGTATTTTCAAACAGTTGTTTTTAATTGTACAGGCAATTTTCGGCTTTAAATACCTGGGTAGTGGCAGCTTTATCAGTTACAGCCACCTTAACATAAGTACTGAGCAGGTGAAATATATCCTGTAATAAAACTATATTTGCCTTTAGAGGGTGATTTTATGCAGGCAGAACAATTACAGCATTAACTAACGAATTCTGTTTGATTGCTTAACATATTTTTAATTATTTACTCCTTTCTGGTTTGTGCAAGGTTTCTTCTTTAGGCTCTCATTCCTTGGCTTGAACTTCTATAGAGCAGTAAGGAGAAACTGCATTTATGCAATGCCCAGTGCAAGAAGTGCACAGCTCCACTGGTACATTCCTTCATTAGGTGAGATGGGAAGGGACTCAAAAAAGAGCTTCAAGAGTGATCATATACCTGGGAATCATGTTTTAGGCTGGAAGACTTTGTAAATTCATCACAGTTAGCCCAAAGACATTCCCAGGTTTGACACAAATGTAAACTACAGAAATCCAGACAAATTCAGGGAGATTTAGAGTGGTAGAGCAGGTAGTGGTACACAATGCTAACCACAAAGTGAGCTTTCCAACTGCAACTTTACTAATCCCTTGATATTTTATTCAGGACTGTGTTTTTAAGGTTAGGTGGGTTAAAACCTAAAAAAGTATATTGTACCACAGATCACAGCTGCAGAGTTGGAGGAGGAGTTACTGCGTGGGGTTGTGTGCCCAGTGTGTGACCCAAAACCAGAATCAGATACATAATCTCCATGATGTGTTCTGGCCTTAAAATTATTTCATCTGTCAATCTATATAGAACCTATAGCCTGTGGTAACATGGGCACGTGCAGAATTTGGGTGAGATCTCACAGTTTTTCCTGCACCAAAGGAATTGAAACCCATGAGAAATTTCTGCTGCAGCTGAAAGTCTTGGATTGGCATTTTTCTCACTAGATGGGAAACAGGGAAATCTTTGTGTTGCTTAACTCTGGTGGTGCCACAGCCTTATCTTGCAGGGGTGCCATGTCCCTTGCAGTGAGTGCTGCCGACTCCATCATCTCCTTGATGAGCTGGATGATAAGGCTGTGAGTGGTTTACAGAGAGCAGGAGCACATAACAGGTGCCTCCCCCATGCTAGGAAGTCAACTGAAAGGGAGAGCTCTTGACATTTGTTGCAGGATTGGGCCCCTGGTATGCAGGACTGTACAGAAACACCGTCATTTATTCTTTCTTACTAGGTGGTGTGGGGGGGGAAAAAGTTGTCTTTTGGAGAAGATATTTGAAAGAGCAAGAACAGTTCTGACAAGTTGCAGGTTATGAGCCGTTGATATCTCTTTCATCATTAACAGTAGGATAGGATCTGAAGGTGACCGAATCCTTTTTTTGTTTTGTTTTGTTTCCTTTGCTTATGAATCATCTCACTTTTCTGCTTAAAATAGACTTTGCTGTTAACCTCTTGCGTTCTGCTGTGTGATTTCCCTGCTCTCTGGGAGGTTTGTACCAGTCATTAGTTCAATGCTGGCTTTGACATTAGATGCATGATCTTTTTGCTTTCCAGACTATTAGAAGAGATTAATAAAAGACTCTGTACCCAAGCCTTCAGCTGTTCTCTAATTTTTGAAGCATCCTGCTGTCACACACCTTCCTTCAAAAGTAATGTTCTGACTTTTCTCTGTGGTCACAGATGTGGAGCTTCAATTCCATTTTATTTTCTTTCCATCTACACTGAGGCAAAGATTTTACCTTTAATATATTTGTGTGGCATGCCCAGGTCTAAACAGACAGGGAAGGGAGAGGAAGCCCTTCAGAGCAAATTGCTCCTTTTATGGGGAGATGGGAAGGGATACTGCATGCCTCGGTTGTCTTAACACTGCTGTGAGCTGCTAAATAATCACAGTATTTATTCCAAGAAGCAGCTGTATTTTAAAGGTATGTGTAATGATTCTGATAATCCGCAGTAAGAGAATTATCCTGACACAGATTCCCACACTGAATAGTTTGCTGAAACATATGAGGCATATATAGTCTGACGAGATATATGGAGGTACATCAGTATGTGATTTTGTTTTGGAAGCCGTGTGAATGACTGTGTTAAGTGGCAACTTGTTATGGGGATAAGTTGGAAGGCAGATGTATAGAGCACAGAGGAGTTCTGAAAATAGGTGAGGTTTTAAAGGGAACAAAAACTAAGTTTCCCCTCAGCACTAGGCTTGTTTCCTCTGCAAAAGCATCATAAACCACCCATAAAGAAATAACTCATTTCACAAGCATTCTGGCTTAAATAGTCATTGATACAGTATTTTGGGTGTCCCTTTTGCATTCCAGGGACTATGAAACACTGCCTAGATTTGTTGCCTTTGGTCTTCTTAATGTGGTCAAACAAACAAATGGAACAAATAAAGTTCTATTGCCTGACAAGCAGACAAGCACATAGAAAACAAAACGAGAGTAAAACAAAATAAAACAGGGTCAATAAATGCCCTCTACTGAAGTAAACAATTTTACTCATTTATTTTCTCTTCCAAAACTGCTGAATTAAAAGTTATTTCCCATAGATGAATAGTTCAGATTATTAGTCTCTTCTGTGTCAATGACACCAACACCTGGGAATATGAAGTACTGCTAAAACATTAATAGCCTAAACCATGACATAGCATAGAATGTTAATGACCAGCTGAATGCAGTAGTATAATTTGCTTCTTTTTTCTCTCCTTTTCTTTTGGGAATGCATATTTTATTCCTGTAACAGCGTGTCTCAGCACCAGTGTGTTACAACTGAAGAAATATGCATTTTAGAGTTAGCCATGAAATTACAGCATTTTCAAAGGCTGTGCGCCTTTTCACAGTGGCAATTACAGCCAGGCTTCAGTCACTTGTCAGGTGCCACACGTTTTTCGAAGACATGGTTTTCTTGAGAAGTAAAACACTGGGGGTGATATGAAACCTCTCTCAATTGTGACCTCTGTAGCATCCCTTGCTACCCGAAGTCCTCATGCTCAGCACTGCTGCCCTTGTTGAGACTTTGCTGGGCATTTGCATGGGTAATGGTGAACAAGGACCTCAGGCTCTGTCTCTTTGCTTTTGTGTGATGGGGTGATGGACATCTTTGTTTCGGGCTCTAGCCCCAGCCATTTCAGATCTAATCTCCCAGCACTTTCATGCAGGTAGTGTTTGGCTGACTGAGCATGATGAAAGTCGTGTCTGCTTTCTCAGAGTTACATCCAAAGTCTGAAGAGTTCCTGTTTGGTCTGAGCAAAACTCCTGATATGGGTAAGAAGGTATTTTAGGCAGGGACTGAGACAGGAAGGCGGCTGAAATGACAGCTGCCCTCCTGTTGGAGTGGAAAGAAATTCGCACAGGTCTCTGTGAAATCCACTGCTGCTACCCCTGGAGAGCTCCCAAGGCTCCTCCATCACCCCATGGGGGCAAAACACTGCAGCAGCAGCTGGGAGATGGTGAGCCGTTTCTCAAGGGCTAGCTCTCCCCAGGGCTATCAGAAGAAATGTTCTTCTCTCCCTGCAGCTCTGCTACCTCGCTTCTACAACATTTTGGCTTGCCCTTGACTAGGAAACCCTTTCCTTGGTTGCTGTTCTGCCTGATTCTGAAGTTGGTGTTCGCAGGTATACACAACTTCCTATGCATGACTTAATGCTCCCGTAAGGGTGTTGCTGCTCTTCAGCTGTCTTACTAGATGTAAATGTATCTAAGTCACAAACACTCTTCATAGAAAGAGTAGGATGAAAGTCATCTAGTCCAATCCACCGCTCACAGCAGGGCTGCCTTCCAAGCTAGACTGAATCGCTCAGGGCCTTGTCTAGCCAAAATATCCAAGGAAGGAGATACCACAGCCTTCCAGGGTAATCTTTCTCAGTGCTGCACCAGTCTCAGAGAAGAAGAATCTTCCCTTGTGCCAGCTCAGAGTTTGCCTGGCTGCAACATTTGTCCATCACCTTGAAGTTTCCTGAGTATTTGAAAAACAGCAAGAAACAGTGACAGGTTCTTGCTGTCCATTGGCATAACTCCATATACGTAGCTCAGGATGTATTGTGCAGGATCTGTATATGTGGCTTATATTGGTAGATGTGGGATTTATTGGTAAATGGAACTAAACTGCATTATTAACTAAGAAAATCACTAGCACAAGTTCCACACTGCTTTCTTTCACTGAAACCTCCATACCTCCACCATTGTCTCCTTGCTTGGTTTCATTCTTGTTTTGAGCTATGCTCTTTCTTCATCCCTGATGTTGCAAATCTGTGCCCCTAGCAAAACTCTGTTGTGCTGCTGTCTCATTTCTCTGAGCTTTCATCTCTTCTTGACATGGAGATAGCCTCTTTGATGGGCAGTTCGTTCCTTGGGCAATGCTGCTAGCTCCTCATCCTCTTCTTCAACTTTTCCCTAGGTATTGTCCACTGGCAGAGCCAGGGCACTGGGCTAGAGGACCTTTTGCCTGAGTGGCTGTTTTGATGCCCAGACATGAATCTTTTTCTTTCTTGGGTTCCAAAGTTTTAATTATAAGGGTCATTGGTAGCCATCACCATCATCAGAACAGGTGCTTCACAGTGTCCCGCAGATTTGGAGTCATCATTTCTATTTTATAAATGGGAAACTGAGGCTCTGTTGTATAAAGCAACACCCTAAAGGAGCTTTGCAGTATATCTCTTAGCAGTACTGCCTTTCCGATGTCAGAGCACTACCTAAACAGATTCATCTCCCTCATCAGAGAGGACAGGATATGTGGCATTTTATAGGTCTTTTCCACCTTCATGTTCT